AAAGATAGATACTGCATGTTGTTTGTTGACAATGGAGTTTTTGATGAATGATTCCAGACGCACCAGATGGTCAATGGTACTTCGTTTTTTTCGGAAACCACATTGGAGGTCACTGAGGAGGTTATTGGTCTCCAAGTACCAGATTAATCGATTGTTGACCATGCGCTCCATGGTTTTGCAAACGCAGCTAGTTAGTGATATAGGACGGTAGTTTGAGGGATCAGTATGATCGCGGCCGGGTTTTGGTATAGGGATGATAATGGCATTGTGCCACGAAGGGGGAAAGTGTCCGGATGTCCAGATGTCATCAAATATATTTAGGAGTGTTTCCAAGCCTGTGTCAGGGAGGTGTTTTAGAAGCTGATAATGGATTTCATCAGCTCCTGCCGCAGTGTCGTGAGCCTGTCCTAGGGCAGTACGTAATTCATGGAGGGAAAACGTTTCGTTGTAATCCTCCCCATTATCAGAGTTAAAATTGACTGGTTTCTTTTCTTGTTGGGTTTGATATTTCTGGAACTGAGGGTTATAATTTGATGAGGAGGAGTGGTTTGCCAAAGTTTCGCCAAGTTTGTTTGCAATTTCATATTTATTTGTTAGAAGGGAGTCACCATCTTTCAGGTGGTGAACTCCTGATTTTGACCCTTTGCCCTTGATCTTTTGAATCATGTTCCACACCTTGGACATGGGTGTGCGGGAGTTGATTTTTGACACATATTTCCTCCATGACCGGCGTTTAGTTTGTTTGAAGGTACGTTTTGCCCTGGCATTTGTCATTTTAACAGCATTCAGGTTATGCACTGTAGGATGTTGTCGGAAATATTTTTCCGCCTTCTTCCTATTTTTCCTAGCTTGTTTGCAGTTTGTATCAAACCATGGTTTGCGTATGTGCGGGTTTGCAGATGACTTTGGAATACTTTTGTCTCCAATGGCATTTAGGACGTCTGAAAATAGTTCCATGGGGTCAGGAACATTTCTGAAGTTGTCCGGCTTAAGTTTTTCTGAACATAGGGTTTGGAATAAAGGCCAACTGGCCTTAGTAAAATTCCATCTTGTTGATGGTGGTTCGTCCGTGGGGTTGATAGGAGTGAGAATTGTTGGGAAGTGGTCGCTTCCACAAAGGTCGTCATGGACCGACCATTCAAACTCATTTAAAAGATTAGTATCTGTAAGTGATAGATCGAGAGCAGAGTATGATCCAGTGGCAGGATGGAGGTAGCTGTTTGATCCATCGTTGAAGATGCATACATCATTATTTGAGAGAAACTCTTCAAGGACCTTTCCCTTACTATTTGTATCAGTACTCCCACATAGGGGGTTATGGCCGTTGAAGTCGCCCATGATTATGCAGGGCTTTGGGAGTTGATAGTATAAGTTCTGAAGATATGTTAGGCGAACAGTTGAGGTGTGTGTGTGGGGTGGGGGTGGGAGATAGAGGGGAGCATAGTGTAAACCCTATGTTCAGAGTCATGTGGACAGCAACAGTTTGTAGGTTGGTGTTAAGTGGAACGGGGCTATGGAGGATGCCCTGCCTCACCAGGATAGAAGTGCCTCCTGTAGCTTTTACACCGGGAGGAGAAAAGGAGTGGTAGGAACTGTACCGACGGATGTCAAATTTATCAGTCTTTTTAGGTAGGTTTCTTGGAGACAAAACGCGGATGGTTTGAAGTCTTGAATCAATAACTGTAATTCATATAATTATTCTTAAGTCCTCTGCAATTCCATTGGATCATGTTTTGTGGATTCATGGTGCTTCCACTGGTGACATGTCACGTGAACGTGAGAAAGCGTTTGATGAACTCCTATTGGTGTCTGGTGGAGATGGAGTTACTTCCATATCCAGAGGGCCAAAGGAGTTATGGACCTCGATGGGGACCTCTGAGGGAGAGGTGGCCTTTGGTTTTGTGTTTGGCGGTTGTTCAAGTTGCTTTAGTCTCTCTAGCCTCTTTTTTTCCCGTGGCTGAGATGGGTTCATTTGTGTTGAGTTGAGTTGGCTGAGAAGACATGATCCATGTCAGGTCGGTCTGACATGAGATGGTTGCAGTAGTGATAGAAGGACTGTTGATCACTGGATTGTCTTGTCCAGACTCGATTATTTACAGACCGCCGCCATATAGCTGTAATATTGCTGAGTGCGGCGTAAAACTCAACTCACTCACTCACTCACTCAGACGAGGAGTTGTCATCATCCATGTGTCTTCGTTTTGAACCGGGGTATTGGGAAGCCATGTCGTTAGTAATGTGGTTCGGCATCCCCTCTCCCCACCCACCGTGGAGTGTCAACAAGGACGATCTTATACTGCAGCGGATCTCCAAGCTGCAAAGACCAGGGATAAGGGGGGTGTTATACTCCAGCGAATTTGACATGAAATGCTGTAGCTGCCTACCAGATTAAAGGTCAGGATGGTTCTGTCCATGACAATCAATTGGAGACGTACAGAAATCGGAGGTCAGCGTCACCAGATTGGCCCATGAGCCACCGCCTTCTCTGCATGGGTCTGCGAGGCTAATTTGTTTTCGTAGAATATTAGCTACCATTTTGGACATGGCCAAAATTGTTATGTAATATCACGTTTTGTATAGACATTTCATGCACAGGGCAAGGCGTGACCAGCCGATTGGTAGAATCGGGCCTATTCTACCACCCGTCTAGGCAAAGTTAGGGTCGAAGTGGTGTGTTGGATTATTGAACACTATTGCCGGTTCCGTCATCCTCAACCACCAGACTCCCTTCCTCTGCCGACACAGGGATGCAACCCACGGCAAACGGGTTGCCCAATTTGGTCGCCTCTTACAACCAGCAATGGGGTGCTGTGGACCTATTCGACCCCGGGTCCACACGGGGGTGAAGAGCCATTGGCGTTACCCAGCACCCACCACGAGGAGGTTGCTCTTCAAGGGGAGCCGTTTACCTGTAGTGCCTTATACAGTTGATTACAGTTCACCCGTAGTGCCTTATACAGTTGGTTACAGTTCACCTGTAGTGGTTTATACAGTTGGTTACAATTCAATCGCAGTGCCATATACAGTTGGTTACAGTTTACCTGTAGTGCCATATACAGTTGGTTACAATTTACATGTAGTGCCTCAAACAATTGGTTACTGTTAATTGTAGAGCCGTATAGAGTTGGTTACAGTTCACCCGTACTGCCTTATACAGTTGGTTACAGTTCACCTGTAGTGGTTTATACAGTTGGTTACAGTTCAATCGTAGTGCCTTATACAGTTGGTTACAGTTCACCCGTAGTACCTTATATAGTTGGTTACAGTTCAATCGTAGTGCCTTATACAGTTGGTTACAGTTCACTCGTACTGCCATTTACGGTTGGTTACAGTTTACCTGTGGTGCTTTATACAGTTGGTTACAGTTCACCTGTAGTGCTTTATACAGTTGGTTACAATTTACCTGTAGTGCCTCATACTATTGGTTACAGTTTACCTGTAGTGCCTTATACAGTTGATTACAGTTTACCTGTGGTGTCGTATACAGTTGTACGCCTCCGTGGTGTATTGGTTAGAGCGTCCGCCTGGATAGCGGAAGGTCGCGGGTTCGATCCCCGACCGCGTCATACCTAAAGACGTCAAAATATGGTACTTGTTGTTCCCTGCCTTGCGCTCGGCATTAATTGGTACAACAAGGACTGGTCGGCTCGGAGTTAGTATAATGTGTCTGAGTGGGATATTCATGCTTCACTGCGGCATGGTATCTCAGTGGGCTAGCACTATAAAACCAGCTTCAGTCTAGGCTAGTACAAGCAGCCACACATACACATCCACACGCATGCACGTCGTCATATGAGCGAAATATTCTCCAGCACGACTTTAAACCCAATTTCACCTCACCTCACCTCGTATACAGTTGGTTACAGTTTACCTGTGGTGTCGTACACAGTTGGTTACAATTTACCTGTAGTGCCTCATACAATTGCTTACAGTTTACCTGTGGTGTCGTAGACAGTTGGTTACAATTTACCTGTAGTGCCTCATACAGTTGGTTACAGTTTACCTGTGGTGTCGTATACAGTTGGTTACAATTTACCTGTAGTGCCTCATACAATTGGTTACAGTTTACCTGTGGTGTCGTATACAGTTGGTTACAATTTACCTGTAGTGCCTTATACAGTTGGTTACAATTTACCTGTGGTGTCGTATACAGTTGGTTACAATTTACCTGTAGTGCCTCATACAGTTGGTTACAGTTTACCTGTGGTGTCGTATACAGTTGGTTACAATTTACCTGTAGTGCCTTATACAGTTGGTTACAGTTTACCTGTGGTGTCGTACACAGTTGGTTACAATTTACCTGTAGTGCCTCATACAGTTGGTTACAGTTTACCTGTGGTGTCGTAGACAGTTGGTTACAGTTTACCTGTGGTGCCTTATACAGTTGGTTACAGTTTACCTGTAGTGCCGTATACAGTTGGTTACAATTTACCTGTAGTGCCTCATACAGTTGGTTACAGTTTACCTGTGGTGTCGTATACAGTTGGTTACAATTTACCTGTAGTGCCTCATACAGTTGGTTACAGTTTACATGCAGGCCCCGATATAGCTGGAGCATTTCACCTGTACATGCTTATACAGTTAAGGTACAGTCACCCTGTATGTCAGTAAATGTACTGTGCATCTCCGCACTTCTTTCAGCTTCTGTTTTGCATCCATATTGACATGTTTGTCAAGTATCCATTTTTACTTTTTAGTCTGTATGTAGATGTTTACATTTATTTCAGGAAACATTTATTGACCTATTTTGAAAGTGCACTAGCATTCCCTTATATCAAAAGGTATAGGATTCCAATTTCACTAAAACCAGATCCAATTGGATCAAATCTTTACGAAGCGGACTTTGATCTGATCTTAATGACATGGTATAGAAAAGTGAATCTTCATCTCCCTAGATGCTCAAAGGAAAATCCTTCAACAAAAACATCAACGTTGTTGCTTTCAATCATCTCATGGTCGTACTCACTATTATTTTTCGACGTCTCTTCAGATCAACAACGATGTGCGATTCTGCTTTCTTCAATCGATCCTGGTCCGAGTATGCGTCCGGTTTTGGTGAGCCTGATTCATGTTTCTGGCTGGGTAATAATAAAATCCGGGCACTTACGAAACAGGCGGATTACAACCTACAAGTTGGGACCCGCAGCAGTTTGGGTGAATGGCAGGTAAGAATTTATTGAGTGATCTGTAAAAAAGAATCACTGTATTTTTAACTTGTTTCGTCATGTTCTATTATTGACAACATGCTTCGTGCTGGATTATTCATTATAACTTAAGGTTGTCGTTGTTTTACGCTGCATTCGGAAATATTCCAGCTACGTGTATATAGCGGCCTGTAAATAATCGAGTCTGGGCCAGACAATCCCGTGATCAACAGTATGAGCATAGATCTACGCATCTGGGATTACGGTCAACCCAGTCAACGAGCCTGGCCACCCAATCCCGTAAATCGCCTCTCACGACAAGCATGTGTTACGGAAGACCAATTCTAACCCGGGTGTTCCCGGGTCTGTTATATGAATGCAGGTATGGGATGTACGTGTTTTGCTAAAATCTCATGTGTTTTCCCTGGAACACGTATTTTTGCAGGTTTAGAATTTTGTATTGCGACAAGAGTATTTTTTAAATTTTGTTAAAGTTAACAGATACTTTGTTTCATATGTTATATTTACGATTACACTTTCTTAGTAAAGTACAGATTCTAGTACTTTTGTTGGGCTGAGTCCCATCAAGGATTCGAACCCGCACCCTCACCGTCTGTATAATGATATTTTAGTGACACCAATACCTGTAAACCCAAGCATATACATATGACGGGCAACTGCGTATATCGATGCTCATAAAGTTGATCACTGGATTCTCTGGTCCAGACTCGAATATTTAGAGGCGCCCCCAAATAGCTAGAATATTGCTGAGTGAGGCCCATACATCAAACAAACACAACAACAAAATCTTAGATGTGATTGTTAAGAAATTACACGAGCTTTTCTGAGTGACTCCGAAATCAAGTCGAACCCCTTTCATTACTATTCATTACATTTCTTTGATTATTCCCGTATCTTTTTGCGAGCTACTGGTGATATGTTGACCGATATTTATTTTTTTTAAAATGCATTCAAACACGCATGTGTACCATTATTTCAGACGACATTATACATGTTCAAAATCGAAGACGTCGAAAACCAGTACAAAATAAACTTCACAAGTCATGATGGTCAGAACAGTATAAGTAACAATGACGGGTTGCTTTGCAAGAAGGGCTTCTCCTTCTACACGTACGACGAAAGCCACGGCACCAACAGCACCTGTGCCATCGTTGGCGGCGGGTGGTGGTACGGGGACGACTGCGACCACGGAAACCTTAACGATCTGCGGGGTCCAAGATGGCTGAACGACCAGGGCAACCTGACGTTTTACAACGAGAGCACTATGGCTATTACACCAGCCGATGTCATCAGATATTCCAATATTCGGACAGGTTCCAACAACAAACCATCTGGTTGAGTGAAGAACTAATCCCCTGCCTGTTACCTCTTAATGAAATTGGAATGGCCCATGAAATAAATAACAGAACAGAACTTTATTACACTCAGGCCGATATCATCGGTATATGAGATACAAATGATAATAAATGATAATATTATGTCGGAATGGTAGTTTGACGGAAGATGTTACATTTTGCATGGTATATTTACAGAATTTACTGAGATTTTTCATAACAGATATCTTTTTACATGTAAAGAGTGATTAAAAATTGTAACATAGTATTGGTCTTTTTATAAAGGAAGCTGGTACATACATTGATTTCTTTTCTAAGATGCGTGCATTTAAGAATATAATAACCAAAATCATCCCCCACATCATTCATACAACATTTACATTTTCTTTCATCTATTAGAATCATATTCCATCTTCCTTTTCAACTGGTAAATGGTGGCATGAAGTACGAAAATGGAGCAAGGGGGTAACTTTGTTCAAGGGTAGGGATGTTAAATAATTAAACCAATGTTATTAAAAAAGGGGCGGTGGGGTAGCCTAGTGGTTAAAGCGTTGGCTCGTCACGCCGAAGACCCGGGTTCGAATCCCACATGGGTACAATGTGTGAAGCCCATTCCTGGTGTCCCCCGCCGTGATGTTGCTGGAATATTGCTAAAAGCGGCGTAAAACCAAACTCAGTCAGTAAGTATTAAATATATTCTCTATCCAGCTACAGCTGTGAATACCTTCATTATGAAGATCATATACAATAGAATAAAGATTGAAGAAAACTTAGATGAATTGTTTGTAAATAATTTAGTCCTACAGAAAGTGGGACTTTACCTAATTCACCATAAAGCATATATAATGGGGTACTTTTCATTTTTCAGTTTGTTTTAAATTAACATATCCCAAATTTCACAACTGTACAGCAAGATTGGGTTCATCGTTGAATCAAAGAGATATAATTGACATTGTATTGATAAGTTTAACATTCGACTTCTGCGTGAAACAAAATACATGGCTTTAGTAGCTTGTTGACAGATATTTGATATAGATAATTTGAAAGAATACTTTCTATCAAAAATATCTCCAAGATATTTATGCACATTAACAGCTTTCCTTAGGTTCATTTAACTGGTCGAAATATCCAATTACATATGGGTGTTGCCCTAATTAATCCCTAGTCCAGTGTCTGGGATGTCTAACTAATGGGATGTCTAAGTCTAACTAATGGGAGTATCAATATCAACATGGCGGGGGACACCAGAAATGGGCTTCACACATTGTACCCAGGTGGGGAATCGAACCCTCTTTAACCGATAGGCTACCACACCGTGCCGACGTACCAAAACGACGTTAACAGAAGCGGCGGTGTTCTTTCAACACTCGAGTCCGCCTCTATGATGGAGAGTTTGTCTGGAGAGCGGAATGTCTGGGTTTGATCCCCGATTTTGCCATATGAAAAGACGTTGACGCATCACAACGGCACAGGAAAACCAATACATCCGTAATCTCCACCTACGTAACCGCTTCCTGACGGCAACGTCAACGGCAACATCGGCATTGGGTCGCCACCTCAGTCGACAGACAGTGGCCTGACGTGTCCGTGCCTACGGCATTAGGAACTACAGACCGTAGAGAGGAACTTTCCTGACACTTAGACATCGCCAGCAGAGATTACAGTGGACACGTCACGTACGACGCTGACAGAGACGTGACTGGCAAAGGGTACTCTTTTCGGACGAGAGCAGGTTTTCTCTGTTCAATAATGACGGAAGGACACGAGTTTACCGGAGACTGGGAGAACGAATGGCTCCTTGTTGCATTCAGGAGACGGAGCCTTTCGGCGGAGGGGGTGTAATGATCTGGGGATTAAGTTTTGGAGACCGGACCTCTAGACTTGTTGTGTTTGACGAGACACTGACTGGTCAACGCTACATCAACCACGTTTTGAGGCCGGTAGTTCTCCCTTCCTGCAGCAACAGCAGCGAGGGACTCACTTCCAACATGATAACGCCAGGCCACATGTTGCTGGAGTCGTTTGTACAGGACTTTCTTAATCGCAACAACGTCAACATTCTACCCTGGCCCCCAAGGTCTCCTGATATGTCACCGATGAACCACCTCTGGGACCACGTCGATCGCCGTATCAGACAACATCAACCACCTCCATACCCACGTCAGCAGTTGATCAAAGCGATGAGGGAGGAGTGGCAGAAAATACCCAACAACGTCATCAGACGGCTGACGTCATCAATGCGCCCAAAGTCAGCCGTCTAACCCGCTCAGCTACCGCGACAAAGTCAGCCGTCTAACCCGCTCGGCTGACTTTGTGTGCTGGCGATTAGGTGCCTGACTCTGAGGGTTCAACTCAAAAAGTACTAGAATTTGTACTTTACTAAGAAAGTGTAATCCCAAATATAACATATGTTACATTTGACCACTTTCTAAATGGCATTGTGTAATCAGTATATAGCAGTATAACGAATAATACTGAGCCTACGTTTACTTAGACTGTGGATTGTCTGGTCCAGACTCTACTTTTTCCAGACTGCCGTCATATAACTGGGATGTTGTTGGGTGCGGCTACAAACAACACACAAATCACTTACTTCACTATGGGCTTTCTATCTACATCACAATAACAAATCATAACGCACACGCGATCGTTGGTGGTGGGTTAGCCTAGTGAACAAAGAAGGCCCAGGTTCAATTCCCACATGGACACAACGTGTACAAACCCATACTTCACTCACACGTCATCAAATAACACTTCATTAAATGTACCTTTAAATTTGCATGTATTCTGACCAGTGTGCGAAATAGCCACTGGCCCGCTAGCCCGTGGTTAGTAAAGATCCAGTCGGGCCAGTAATTATCCACAGTCACTGATGACTTATTTACGTTGTTTGAGCATATACAAAATATTTCAGAAATTCAGACATGTGTTTTCTTATTTGTTTTTGATGGTGTTTTACCTTTTTGTAATCTTTTGCTTAGTTTCTACATTCAGATTTCGGGCTAGTGAATTATTTTGTGGGCTAGTAACTTTCAAGCATAGCTAGCCCGACTGGCTTGCAAAATTTGGAAACTATTTCACACTGATTCTGTCCCAGATGGATTTTTTCTCAATTTTCTTCAATGATACTTGTTTTAATAATCCTGTGTGTAATTATATGTTTGCTTTATATGCTTTATTCCATATAAATATACGTGGTTGTTCCCATATAAAGTGCAAGGTTTACAAAAGGCGCGTTATTCCATTTTAATGTTCTTGGAAATAAATGTATGTTTTTCTCGTCCACTCGTGTCTTTACTGTACAATGTGTAAGCCGAAGCCTTAGTCGTATACCTGCAAGCTGTATTCTTTATAAACTAACGGGCAAAAGAAACGATACCAAGTCGAAATCACTGATATTACAAAACGACAAACCACCATTGTGAAAAATGAAAGAGAATTTTAAAAACAGGTGTATGGGCAACATGTTACCATGTTGCCATGTTGCCCATGTCGTTCTGTAATATCAGTGATTTCGACTTGGTATTGTTTCTTTTGCCCGTTAGTTTAGTAGTGCAGTTTTCTGATACTGTTAGTATTTTGTTCTCACAATAAAAACAAATCCGTCTTTGTTTTCTTTTTTTTCCTTTTTATATTTATTAAAATATGTACACAGCTTTTAGCACTTTTTTAATGTATCACAGGGGTGTTTGGGTAGGCCCGTGGGTAAAGCGTTCGCCCGTCCCACCGAAGACGTGGGTTCGATTCCTCACATGGGCACAATTTGTGAAGTTCTGGTCTTCCCTGCCGTGATATTGCTAGAATATTGCGCTAAAGCGGCGTAAAACTCGACTCAATCACTCACTCTCTGTATCACAGGACCCAGCCCATCCAGCTCCGGTAACCGTATTACTGTACTGCTCTCTGTAGAAAGGTTGGACTTGTTATGTCGCCTCGCAGAGCTACGTACTGTCCCAGTTTTCTTTTAGATTTTATCCAATACCCCAAAGGACTTCAAATGTACTGTACATAAAAGGAATCACAGCAACGATTAATACACATTCCATGTAGGTCATCATATCAACTAGAGTTGTCTCCCCGGAGTATTCCGTGCGAGATTCTCAAGTTAGCTCACGTCAATCTGGTAGCGGAATAAGCCGAGTGGACTCTAGGCTCACTCAAAGGGATCTTCACAAGCTGATGTCACAGACAGCGAATAAGACACAGTTCGAGGTTTTGACGGTTCTCCTGTGATTCACGTGTGCTGAGACTGCTGGGATATGTAGAGCACCCGGTGTCGACATCCGGTTGACGCGACATCGGGACACTGGCGTCGATGTGTGCAGAAGGGCACCTGTAATTAGAGAGATAGTCATCAGCATTGCGTTCAACATTTAATGAATGTTCAACTCAAGCTATATTCTTTTCGGAAAACATTATACAGTGAGCTAGTTCTGTTTTACGCGGCTTTTAGCAATATCGTGTCAGGGGACAGCAAACATTGAACCCATGTGGGAAAGCGAACGTTTTAACCCCCAGACAACCCCACGACTACCAAAATATTTATCGAAAACTGTTGGTTAAAGTCACTTTTTCTAGACGTTTAGAAATATGAAATGATCTTTCACTTTCCACTAGAGTGGTAATTACAGTGGGAGTCCTAGCGGGGATTATTATTTCCGTCCATTATCCTGTCCAAAGATCAAATTAAACAATAATCTCTATTTCATCTATTCAATGAAATATTCACCTTGTCGGTGTATTCTTTTGTTGTTATATAACAGTACTTTGGAATAGTCGGGCAAAACATACCAATAAAAGACTCTGTAATAGCATCGCTTGGCGTCACATGACATTTGTCAGCCTCTGCACCTGAAAACACGGGGAATATAATGAACATCACCAAGCACAAACAAGTCAGACAATTATGGAGTCCGAGATATCTTAAGATGGATTCTACTTAAAAGTTGACCCTTGAAGATCCGAGTTAGAATTGGTCTGCAGTAACCCATGTTTGTCGTAAGAA